ATTCAAAGATTCGAAACTTCAAATATTGAATGATTCAAGGATTAAAAATTGCAAAAATTCAAAGATACAAAGAATAAAAATTTCAAAAATTCAAAGATTCAAGATTAAATGAAACTCAACGATTCAAAGATTCAAAATTGCAAAAATTGAAAGATACAAAGAATATAACTGTCAAAAATTCAAATATTCAGGATTAGGTGAAACTCAACGATTCAAAGATTCAAAAATTGAACGATTCAATGATTCAAAATTGCAAAAATTGAAAGATACAAAGAATAAAGTTTCAAGGATTCAAAATTAGGTGAAACTGAACGACTCAAAAATCCGAAATTTCACAGCTTGTTAATTCCGAAACTCAAACATTCACCATTTTCGAAATTTCCAAGCTTCCAAGTGCCCTCGAGTTCCTCACGTATCCCACAATTTCGAGGAAAAACGAAAATTCCGCGATTACAAAAATCTTAACAACACCGGAATTGACACATCCCAAATTCCCGATAACTTGAACAGCCTCGAAATACCTGAAAAATTATTAAAAATACCCAGCTACGTTTCACAATAAGTAAAAATAATCATTGAATACCACCTTGCAGTCTGCAACCGTCTCACAAAACAATCGCAACCGCTTTTTCCAGCAGATCGAGACCATTTCCAATATCTCTTCACTTCAAAATACGGCAGAATTGGTTTGAAAAGCAAGCGAAACGGAAGTCGCAGGAAATAAACGAGGAACGTGGGGATCGAAGCAGCAGAAACGCACTACCTTGACCCGGCTACGTGATCCGCGAGCTTACGCGAATTTCCTCCGTGGCGAAGGAAAGCGTCGTCGAAAAATCGTTTTCTACGGAAGGAAGCCGAGGCTGTTCGGTCAAAAAATTCCGCTTTCCGAGAATACGCGCGCGCGCCAAGCGGGCGGTTATAAATCACGTTCGTCAGGAAAGTGAGGACGAGCATGTTCAGCGTCTCCAGCAAGGTCGATTCCCTCGTTTTCGAACGATGTACCGGGAGCACTTCCTCAGAAATCGACGTTTTTTGGGAAAAAAGTCTCGAATTGGAGAAATTTACCGAGATTGAAAATTGATAGGATCTATGAAATTTATTGTCCTCTTTTTATTCGTTAAACGATTCAATTTTGCGAGAAATATCGAAACGTTACTGTACAAATTTTTATTCTGCTCGTTCAAAGGTAATCTGATTTTTCTTTGAAAGCTTTCCTTGCTTTTATTTTATCGAGAACGTTAATTTTTGTAACTTCGAAATTTTCATTGTTTTTCTTTTAGTGCTGCGGGGGTATTTCCAGGTCGGAAGAGTTTATTGAAGCTTGAAATATGAAATGGGAATTTATTAGAATTGTTGAATATGTTTTTATGTAAATTTGGAGATTGAAATAACTAAAAATAAAATAACTTTTACGAAACATTGATTAATTTGATTTCTTTGAACTCTGTTGGCGAAATAAAAAAATTTCAAGGTTTAATAAATTTATTGAAACGGGAAACTAAGATTTTTTGTAATTATTAAGTGATTATTTTTGAAGAATTTTTATTCTTTAAAGCCGTCACTTTTGCAATTTTCAAATTATAAAACCTTCTTAATTAAATTAAAAACACTCGTTTACGATAATAAAATTCCTCACTTGGACAACTTTTTACCATTTTAACCATAAAATTAGTCACGATTCTAAAGTACCTGTCAATTATGATCGATGAACTATCAAAACCATTTGTCTGTGACGAAAACATGATAAACGAAGTACTGTCATGATTCACTTTAACAGGTATCGAAACGTAATTAATCGGAAAAATCAGCATCGTCGTTGAAGTAGTCACACTGACGCAATTCAAATGTATCATTATGCAATTTCACATTTACAGCTTGGACTTTCCTAACGTTTTTACCATTGGCACGATAGTAAATTCCCAATAAAATGACTCCATTGAATTACCCACTTTTTGTCCTCATTATCGAGGTGTTAATTTTTCAATGGAAAATGGAGAAAGAAAGAAATTGCCACTTCGAAGAAATCAAAAAAAAATTGCCTGGAATATTTGTAAGTTCAAAGAACAGCAAAGAATTAAATTACTCTTTCGGAAAAATACTGAAAACGAAATTAAAAAGTAAGAACAGTACTTCGTCAGAAATTGCTTAAAAATGGAGAAAGTACGCTTAAAAGTAGTTATTTTATTAGAAAAATTGTTTGCATTTGAAAAAAGGAATAATTGTGATTTTTAGATCTTTTTCATCGAATTCAAGTAAATATCGTTTACATGTGACACAAGGAGGCCGTCAAAATGGCGACGCTTCGCTGAAAGAGCGCAACTTCTCTTGTTCTCGCCAGCTTTGTGCAGAAACGAGCTCCCTGCGACACAAAGCGGCGTTGCAAGTCACCGGAACATTATCAAGCGCAATTATTCGCGCAACAGACGATTGATATCATCGAGCTCGAAGAACAGAGGCTACGAAGATTGCAATTTCTGTGAATCGCATACCTTCCAGCGAACAAAGCGGCTTCCTAACAAATTCTCCTCTCTCCTTTGTCTTATTTCGAAAACCTTCTCAGAATTTCGTAATATTTTAATTCCTCTTCCTTGAGGTTTCCCGCTTCTCTTCTTTTCAAATTCATTTCGGAAGTCGGAATTATCGGAGAACACGTTGTTCCGTTGTTTCTCGAGAAGAGAAACACAGTTTTGTCATCTTCGTTTCGCCATAAAACGAAGGGTCGCTCGTTTCAATCACTCCAGTTTGAACTAGAGAAACGCGTAAAAAGACGGGGAAGCAAGAATTGCCGCCGTGGACGTTTTCTTTTTTACGAGGACAGGAAATTGAAAATTCTCGCAGGCAGGAAATTGTTCGATCATTGAAAGATTACCGCAGGAACTCCCTTGGATGATGTTTTTTTTTCTCTGATAACTACGCCGTTTGACATTTATCCCCTGCCTTTACGGATCCCTTTCTTGTTTTACTGCTCGAGATGGGGTAGTTAAAGTGGAATTTGTGCAAAATCGAGGCCTGTTTACCCAGAAAATTTTTACAAAGAAATTCAATCTCAAACTATCCAGAAAATTCGATTAAAGTTTCATTCATCTTTTCTGCTTAAATGTGTAAAATATAATATTGAGAAATTATAATTGAAAAAAGGGCTAAGTTGGAGCTAAGTTAGAAGGCTTCCTTAATTTTCATGAAAAAAATTCTATATTAAAGGATTCTTGATGCAATGAAATTTTAATTAATCGTTTCTTGTTGCACAGTATCACATTGAGAAATTTTAATTGAAAGAAGAGCTGGTGTATCGTTGTTATAGTTTAAATTATGTTACATCCTCTGCTATAATCAGATGAAGCTGAGTTCTAAGAAGAAACTTTGATTCACGAAGTCTAGGAAATCTCATCTCATTATGGTTCATGTGTCATGGATCTTCCAGAGTAGTGATAATTGAAACAAGTTTAATGATTCTCGGAACCTGCGTTAAGCAGGGAATGCTAAATGTCGAGAAAAAGCTAACTTGGCGGTAAACTGTTGAATAATGCCAATGAATTAAACACTGGTTCATTGTTACCTTTTAAATTGTGACTTGGAATATTTTTGTTCTCAAGTGAATGAGAATGTAAGATCCTACTTTAAGTGAAACCTGGTTCATCAATCTTGAAATTTACTATTGGCCAGAGGAAGCCTTATTTGTAGGAACTTGACTGCAAACTTTTATGGCTTATAAACTAGACAGAATCTCGTAAAATTAGTTTTAAATTCCTCCTAGTACCACAATGAAGAATTCCATAAAATTCAATTGAATAGTAATTCAGAATTTCATTGGTTTGCTACAGATCGAGTAAGATTTAAACTACCGAATTAAGGATTTCCTATTATTTTTCGTATAAACAAAGCATTATGTAAACACTCTTGTAAAATCCACTTAAATTTTCATACGAAAGTCCATTTAATTTTACTACGATAATTAACTTTGGTAAGATTTCATCTTTTCAATTAAGAATCCTCCATTGACCTGGTAAACTGAACGCTTCAAAAAATTCTTGTTGCCTTTTAAATTAATTCCAGCTTTGATTAAAAATATTCAGCATCCTTAGATTCTACTAAATCATTAAGATCGTTATATACATAGTATCAAAACATCTTCTAAGTATCATACAAGCCTTAAAGTACTACAAAATTCTTTAGACATCTGTAAAATTAATTCCAAATCTAATTAAAAATTTCTTAACTGAAAAAATCATCCAGATCATCAGTCATAGTACCAAAGCACCTTCTAAGTGTCATATACCCTAAGAAACATCATTTTTACCTTCCAATTTGTAAGATGATCAATTTTAATATTTTCAAAATAAATTCCAACTCTAATTAAAAATATCCACCACCTAGATAATCATATTCACAATACCAAAGCACCTTCTAAGTCTCATAGAGTCCCATAAAATTCTTTTCTCCCTTCCAATTCGTAGATTACCTCTTTCGGTATGTTCAAAATTAATTCTGACTCTAATTAAAAATTTCTAACGTCCTCAACTCCCAAATAACCACCCGGATCGTCATATTCACGATACCAAAACACCTTGTAAGTGTCATATAGTCCCGAAAACTTCTTTTTTGCCTTCGAATTCATAGATTATCTCTTTTGGTATGTTTAAAATGAATTCTGACTCTAATTAAAAATTTCTGAGGTCCTTAACTCCCAGAATATCATCCAGATCATCATACTTACAGTACCGAAGTACCTTCTAAGTGTTATATATCCACAGAAAATTCTTTTCTCCCTTCCAAATCGTAGATTACCTCTTTCGGTACGTTTAAGATTAATTCTGACTCTAATTAAAAATTTCTACCATCTTGGAATCCCTTTAAACAGTCCAGGTCATTGCGCTCACGGTAACAAATCATCCTCTGAACTATATCTACGCTGCTAGCGCGCGTTGAACTCGTTCCAGCGACGATTCACGCGAAATCGAGCGTGTCCACGTGAGAAAAGAGGGGAATCAGGCCGGACTTACCTTGAGAGAGGCCATGTCGGACACGGATCGATGCGTCTGAATGGTTTCCAGCTGGTCCAGGCACCAGTCCAGCTCCTCCATCGTCTCCACGGCCAGTTTCATGTAGTTCTCCTCTGAAAGCCGGAAGAGGAGAGAAGTTTAGCGCGGGAAAGGAAGCGACTGAGGGCTCTCCGCGACGCGGTGAAGTTAATCGCCCCGTGAAGAGGCGGGAAAACGAGACCTAGAGAGGCTGAAGAGCCATCTCTAGAGCTGAAGCTCGTGCGGGATCCACGAGAGTGTGGTTGATTGGATTTTTTGGCGGAAATTAGGGGACCTGACGATGGTGGTTGTGCTCGAAGAATGGAACAAGTGTCCCTTCTACGTTCTGTTTTAGAGTATTTAAAAGGTTTCGTTAGTGCTGAATAAATTTTTCTTTTGTATTTTTAATGATTCTCGATATTGGAGGAAAATTGGAGTATTTTATAACGATGGAATATTTTACTTTATGGGTACAAATGGAACATAGCCTTTATTCAATAAAAGCTGAGTATTTTACTTGCCGAATGAAAATTCCGTATTTTATTTTTTCAACGAAAATAGAGTATTTTCTATTTTGGGTAACAATTAAACATTTTATTTGATGGGAAAAAATGGAGCGTCGTATTTATTCAATACAGACTGAATATTTTATTTCTCGAGTATAAACTGGATGTTTTATTCGTTGAATAAAAATTCAGAATTTCATTTTTTCAATGAAAATTTAGTATCCTATATTTTTCACAACAACTGAACGTTTTATTTTATGGACAAAAATGGAATAATCTACTTGATGTGTTATTTTTAAGAGTACTGGAAGGATTTTGCTTGTCTGGATTGTATGCAGGGTGTCCTATCTAAATGT